GAGCCTAAGAATAGGTCATAGAACAGATACATTTACCGACGTAAGCAAGTAGTGGGCTCTCATACATCCATCTTTAACTTGTCCACGTGTTAGTCCAAATGGCTGTTTGTGTCTGTAACTACTCCTTGTATCTGCTGCTGCTGCTTCGAACCCCTGGGTGCACTCGTCTGGCACACAGAGCGACACCTAAATAGACGGCACGAAGGTATTCAGGACATGATCAGACGCACCTCTATGCAGCCATCAACACCTAGCATCACTGTCTACGTAGTCCGGGTGTTTGATATGTTAATTATATCATGTTGTGGTCTTGTGGTTTTGTGCATTATACGATGTTGTTTATATCATATAGCAATACGCTTACACATTTATACTGTACCATTATATTATCTATTGTATTGTCAGATGGGAAATCAACTACTACGGTCACTAAGACCCTTTCCGACGGCACGACCGAGACATCCCAGACGACAGTGGACACCCCCCCTACACCCCTAAACACATCCCTGACCCTGGACCACCTAGCTGGACTGTCTGCTGATCTGTGGCAAATACCTACACGACTCCGTCCGCGTGTAGCCGAAGCGTGGCCGTTGCAGACACCGGAGGAAAGTACGGAACTCCAGTCCAAGGCAATTGTGGGTGAGAATAGGGCCACGGAGAGGGCCTATGAACAGGACAGCATGCATGAGGCGCAGGGTGTTGATAGTATGCGTGCAATGGCTGCTAAGGGCTTTTTCGGAGGACTCGGAGCGCCTTTTGGCCCGTCGTTGTAAGTTTGAGATATCTGAACCGGGATTTTTCGGTTCTTTTTTTGGGTCCGTATTTCGTTTTCACTGATGGTCTGGTCCTGTCCTTTTAGATTTAGGACAACTGGCCCTGCTTTGTGTTCACCCCCGTGTGCATAGTCGTGTAGGGTTTAGGGTTTCATACCCGTTCCTGCTGGTCATAGACATTCTCCAGATAGATTCCGTCAGCGTGCATTGTGTAAGTTTAGGGTTGGCGGCGCTGTCTCTGCTCTCTCTAAATACATATGTGCACATGACATGTGCACACATGTACCTAGAGAGAGCAGATCTTGCTCACGAAGAATGATCTTAATCTGCATAGGAGTATACACGCGTCTATATGTTGTACCCAGATCCAGCGTTTTGCGATGTGTGTGGGGGGGGAGGGGGGATAAGGGCTTTCCTGGGAGACGCTACTATAATATG